CGCGGCAGCCAGCCCCGACGGTCCAGAACGGATTGTCCGTTCCATAAGACTGGAACGGACGGTCCACTAATGCGGAGCGTTCGTTCTACTTGCTGGAACGGACGGTATGCGTGCATTTCTGGACCGTCCGTTCTGGGCTTCAGATTTTCCGAAATTAAACCGAATTAGGGTTAAATCACTTTATAAGAAGGAGATTAAAAACCCTAATTAAGGGAGCCGACTTGAGAACACTTGTAAGAGACTTTTGGTGAGATCTAAGAGCTTGAGAGTGTGATCAAAGTCCGTTTTTCTCAAAGCACAAATCGAATAGAAGATTCGAGTCCTAGCAGACAAGTTCCAATCGTTGGAATCCATCCCGAAGTGTGGATACGTGTAGAGGGCAAGGTATTCTTCCTGCCTTTCATGATCAGACATGTTCTTCGATTGATACAGGCCCCGGATCGATTGAGGTAAGCGTTCTAACGTTTCTACGATTCATAGAAGCATGGTTCTAGGGTTTCATTAAATTTTTGTTTTATATCCGCTGCGCAAACCCTAGAATCGATCTCTTAGGAATTAGATTCGCTCATGAGATCCCAGAAATCCCAACATTTCATACAAAGGAAAAGAAAGACCTGTTGTGTGTGTTGAAATAGACGAGGTTTTGGATGACTCTACGTGAAGGCTGTTGCAGTCCAAATATCAGAGTGAACAAGATCAAAACAATTTTCATAAATAGTTTGAGAATCGTGAAAAACAGAGCGACAATGCTTTCCTAGAATACAAGCCTTACACAACTTATGGTCATAAGCAACTTTAGGTAAGAGATGCTTAAGCGCTTTGTAGTGAGGATGCCCTAGCCTAGCATGTCAGACAGAATTAAGAGCAAATGCAGGACAACTTGAGTCTTCAATCAAGTAGAGATTATTCTTCAACGCTCCCTTTCCAAACATATGACATGTCTTAGTATCCTGAAATGCAACACCATTAGAATCAAATGTGACGAAACAATCAACATCTTTGGTGAGTTCCGGGACAGAAATGAGATTTGTCGTGAAATCTGGAACATATAGGGTAGGAAGTTCTTTATCAAACATTGTAATAGTTCCTTGTCCTTTGGCCATTTTGATGTTTTTAAAACGAGTTGAATCACAAAACATGTGATGAGTGGCTCCTGAATCAATAACAACAAGTTTATAATGAGAGTTGAAGAAGGCTTTCCCATCATTACCATTCTGCTTGTTGAGATTCATGGCTTGGATGAATTGCTTGATGCATTCAACATTCTCTTTTGTAAAGACATCATCCTGCAAAGCTTGCATTGCAGCACCTTTGTTTGGATTCTGGAATTTAGATGGTTTGAGATGGGGATGAAGAATCCAACACTTTTCTTTTACACGCCTTGGTTTCTTGCAATGATCACACTAAAGAAGTTTAGAACGAGCATAGAAGGAATGGAGAGAAAAGAAATGAACAAAGAAAGATCTTATTAAGATAATTCATTCTAGTACAAGAGGATGCTATTTATAGAGAAAGGAAAGAGAACAATCATTAATGAACTAGCTGTTAGAGTTGTGCATGTGCAGCAGCATTTAATGAGGTTGTTGGCAGATTTAGACATGAAGTAAAGTGGTTGTTTCTTGGTGTGCAAGTGCCCAGCGTCCATATTGTGATTTAATGCCCTTATCCTTGTAATCCAAGCAATCTCATGGTACTCGTGCATATGCAACTTCATATGCAACAACCTTCACGTAGAGTCATCCAAAACCTCGTCTATTTCAACATTCTCCCTCAAGATTGGCTGTGGATAAACCACAAGACCAATCTTGGAAAAGAGTTTGTCAAGAACAGGAGAGTTTGTGGCTTTTGTGAATATGTATGCGAGCTGATCAGAACTCCTGGTGTACATCGGGGAGATAATTCCTTGATCAATCTTCTCACGAATGAAGTGACTGTCGACTTTAATGTGCTTTGTCCTCTCGTGAAATATAGGATTTGCAGCTGTGTATGGCAGCTTGATTGTCGCAATGCAGTGGTATCGGTTGAAATATTTCGATCCCGAGATCACGCAGTAGTGACTTTATCCACATTAATTCACAAGTAATGTTTGCCATGGCTCTGTATTCAGCTTCAGCGCTTGATCTTGCTACAACTGTTTGCTTCTTGCTTTTCCATGTCACGAGATTGCCCCCAACAAACGTCGGTAGCCCAAGGTTGATTTTCGATCGAACTTGTCACCTGCCCAATCTACATCAGAATATCTGTGACACCCATAACCCGTCTCCCGCTCATGAGTTGTGCCACATGGACGCTCAAACATATAATAAAATAGCGGGAATTTAAAAATATTTTATTTTATTACACACGCAGCGGAAAAGCAAGTATATGTTTACAAACTCACGTACAGTAGTATACACACCAACATAGAGACGGTAACCACAATATAAAACAAGGTCAAGTCACCGCCCGTACAAACCAACATAAGTCCAAATGAAGAAAAGTACATGATCCAGAAAAACTCCTCATGCGTCACCAGTACCCTCGTCCTGCCGCTGCCAATACTGTTCCGTGCCTGAAACATTGCATAACAACGTCCATAAGCTACGTGCTTAGTGAGTACTTTGGGTTAGACCCGAAGATCATACTCAAATTGCAAATGGCCAAACACAAACAATATTATACACACAGTACATATAAGTGTATACATATATATACACACTCCATGCCATCAAACATCGTTCACTCAATCGCACAAATAATTCACTTATCACACACACTCAGTGCAAATGACAAGTCATCGGACATAACCATCAAATCATCTCTATGTGCATCGCACACATAGGATACCGCAAGGATCTGGTCTCACCAGTCCAGGACATATGTACACAAGTCATAGCTCGACCCATCGGGTCTCCCAGTAATATCCGTACCGTCAAATAATCTCCACGTATGCATCACACACGTGGGTAAGGACGCTCCATGTGCAACGCACATCCCCCGCTCTCCTCGGCAATCGCTGGAACAATAAAACACGTCATCCAAATCCCTACTCCATAAAACATAATACATCAACCATCCCCTCTGTTATCGATGTCACCTCTCGATACCAGAGTGTCAGGTGCCTCCTCCAGGCCACCACCGACTATGTCGAGCAAAGTCAATACAAAACTGACAACCTCTCGCCGGCCGTCCGCCACAGAGAAACTCATTGGACCCGAGCTCAGGTCTTTCTGAGTTCCTTCGCATAACCTCGTCGGGAGAATCGCTCAATCCCGAGTCACGGGTAAATGTATTGCCAGTCTTTGCCGGGAGAATCACTCAATCCCGAACCCGTTCCATAGCTAGTGGAACGTTGGCGCGGTTACAGTGTAACCGTAAGATTTCCTCAACCCCATGATAGCCGAATCGCTCAAGACTATCACGTGTATCATCGGCTCCAAGCTCTGCCTGTGGGCAATCAATCACAACCATGCCTCCTCAATACGAAACCCGACCCGGGTCAGAGATCACAAAGAGGAGATCTCAGCCAATGCAATCATCGGAATATCACATCAACCCGCTACAATCACACGCTCAACCTTATCCCGACCCTCCGGAATAAAGTCTCGCGCCATGCCAACTACCCGATTCCCCATTCACATGCACTCATATATCATTATACTTTAATCGGATATACATACGTCTTTACTCGTCATTTTGGTTATCTCGTTTCCATTACATTCATTCTATTCTTTTACCCTCCGATCCGATCAAATTGGGTTCCGACCATCTCGGATTACCAATTCAGCTCGTTCCGAAGGTTTTACTTACCGTAGGTCGTTTTCATTCAAGTTTCATGAGATTCGGGTAGGGAACGGGTCTAGGTAGATCACGTGTAGGGGTCGGTTGCATCGGATTCCGTTCGATCCGAAGGAACGAATGAAAACGGGGAGACAGGGGTCCAGAACGGATGGCCTACCCCGTCTGGAACGGACGGACTGGGTGGTCTGATCCCTTCGGTCTGGCCGAAGCTGGAACGGATGCTCCGCAAGGAATGGAACGGACGGTCTAGGTCCAGAACGGACGGTCCAGGTCCAGAATGGACGGTCTAGACCCGTCTTCTTCCTCGCGACCCTACAACCCTAGAACGAACGGTCCATGCATGGACCGTTCGGTCCAAGCCTGGACCGTTCGGTCTAGGCGTACCAGGAACTTCGGGTTCCAAATTTTCGCACCAAACTCAACAAGCTATACACCAAAATGATCCTTAGAACATCAGGAATCCAAATCTAACACCAATTTCATGCAATTTTCACTCAAAGCAATCAAATCTCCATTTTCAATTTGATTATCATTTTCGGGCATAATCCGAAACACTCACCTAATTCAAATTCGAGCTTTGGGCTTTGTTGGGAAGGTTTTCTAGAGTTGATTGCTTGGTTTATTTGTTGATTTCGATCGAAATAGTAGCTCCAATCGAAGATCCAAGTTTTCGGACTTTTGAGAGAGTTTGTGGGAGAGTGTGAGAGTGAAAATGACTGAAGAATGGCGGATTTGGGGGCGAAATCCCGCGTCCCAGAGGAAGCAGGAGGTGTCCTCGCCAAGCAGGAGGTGTCACGCGCCGGAGGGAGGCCGAAATTGCGGCCGTGACTCAGCAGAAGGAAGAGGAGGCGCGCGATGTCCGACTCAGCCCCGTCGGAACGGACGGTCTGCTTGTCAGACCGGACGTTCTGGCCGTTTTCGCCCGTTTTTCTCGCTCGTTTCGGTCCAATCCTTCGGGTCAACTTGGTTAGGGTCTAATTCAATATTTTAGGGATATTTTTATGACTCATATTTGATTTTCTAAAATTCGGTTTCAAAGTTGAATTTACGGGTTATTACAATATCCAACTATCTCTGTGTGCATGTTGCGTTCCATCCATAATCCTTTACCCGGTGACCCTTTCAGATATTTGAGAATCCGATCAACCATCTTCCAATGTTGTGTTGTAGAAGCATGCATCCATTGACTTACCTGATTCACAACAAAACATAGATTAGGTCTTGTAATAGTAAGATAGATAAGTTTACCCACAACGCGACGATATTGATCAATATCTTTGTGAGATTCCCCCTCGCGTTGATCCTTGTAATTTTCTTCAAGGGGAGTTCGACCAGGTTTTGCTGCAAGTTTTCCTGTCTCACTAAGCAGATCAAGAATATACTTTCGTTGAGATAAAAATAATCCGTTTTTTGAACGAGAAATTTCAATGCCAAGAAAGTATTTGAGTTCGCCTAGATCCTTGATATCAAAAGTCTTTTTCAAAAAGGTTTTAGTATCTTGAATACCCTTTTTGTCATTTCCAGCAATAATTATATCGTCAACATAGATGAGAAAAACGATTATACCAAGATCTCCTTGAAGAGTAAAGAGAGAGTGATCAGCCTCACTCCTAGTGAATCCATGTGTGATAAGTGCATTGTGTAGTTTGTGATACCATGCACGCAGAGATTGCTTCAGTCCATAGATTGTTTTCCTTAACTTGAAAACCTTCCCATTTTCTTGGTCTTCAAGATATCCCGGAGGTGGCTGCATATATATTTCTTCTGCAAGTTCACCTTGAAGAAAGGCGTTTTTTACATCCATCTGCCACAAATCCCAATCAAGATTAGTTGCAAGAGAAAGGATAATACGAATTGAAGGTAACTTAGCAACAAGAGCAAATGTTTCAGTATAGTCTTCTCCATAGGTTTGTGTAAACCCCTTTGCGACGAGTCTAACTTTGTATCTCTCAATATCACCATTGCTGTGATATTTTATTTTGAAGATCCATTTGCAGCCTACAACCTTTTTATTTTCCGGAAGAGATACAACATCCCATGTGTCATTTCTTTCAAGTGCATCGATTTCATCCTTCATTGCATTTATCCACACGTGGTGCTCCTTAGCTTCTTCAAAAGAACATGGCTCCTTCCCCTGATCAATTTTACTCAAGAAAACGTGCTCATTAGATGAAAAGTTAGAGATAGAATAAACTTCTTGAATAGGATGAGCCACAACATGGCCATTGAAATAAACCCGCTTTTTGGACCATTCCGAGATCGGAGCTTTTGGTCTTGAGCTTCTTCGAAGAATTGGATTTTCATGAGTACTTAGCCTTGTGCTTCTTCGAAGTACTTGAGTTTCGTGGGGGTTAGCAGACTCGGTAGGCATATTACCGTTGTAATGTTCCTCTTTATTGTCGATCATAGGTGGTTCCCCCTCTCTTTCAGTGGTGTTTGATTCTTGATAATGCGGTTCTTCCACCTCATCATTCCCATTCATTGGATCTTGAATTTCCTCTTGGTTTTCACATGATTCACCACTTTCTTTATATTGAGACTCATTACTTTCATCTTGATGTTCCTGATTGTCCCTTGATTTTTCATCGAGTCCACTATCATTGTTTGGTTGTTCCTGCACTGCCTTTAAAAGGTGTA